ATAATTACTAGAATTAAAAACCTGAAATGGACGGAATCCATAACGTTCGATCTACGTGACTTCAAATGTAAGTGGGGAACTCAGATAGTAGTGAATGATTTCTACAATATAGAAACATATTTACTCTAGCCAATTAAAAGATCTTGAGTAAATTAGTTGAGGTTTTAATTGAATTGAAAATATCAAAGGGAAATCTGAAAGGGTACTACGAAAGAGGTAATTACGCATATAGTGACACATGGGTCAACAAGCTGTAACAAACCATATCTCTTTTTTGGTCACATTTTTAAAAAGGGTATCATTTGTTATAGCTGCAGTTGAATTTTCTTGTATATTAATAGCTCTCTAATATTTGTTCTAGAAATTATAGAGTAAAGATTATGTGATTAAAAAAGTGTACCTAATGAGTAAATATCGCAACATGGGCGCGGAGATGCACATTCCTGACTATTCATTCGATAGAAATTCAGAGAGATTATATTTTGCACCTCTTTGTTGAATAATATGGGCCACAGGAGCGTCTGCAATGTGGTAAACATTTAAGTTGGATTTAAACAATATGATATATCGTTCAAATTTACTCTCGAAAATAATTTTTTATACCAACCATTACTACTCAATTATCATGGAATGATTCTTCAAATATCTATAATCATATCTTGTATGTAATTTAAAGGCAATTCTTGAAAGTTGTCTCTCACTTTCTCAACATTTTTACAGATGCAAAATTTTTGCACTTACATAATAAGTGAGGTATTGACATTCTAATATATCACTTATTATGTTTATTGCTTCAACGATTCACATCCAAATAAAACATATTCCTCTCTTGATAACCAGAATGGATTACCTTCTACATATTCTGGTGGTGTTTTATCTATAATAATGTGATTACATATTGTTTCGTTTAAGTATGTATTTGTGTGATTTATTATCAAATAATTGTATATTTACCTGGATGTACAGCTAAAGGCACATACGTAGAACCTAATGCAACATTCCAACTATGAGTGCCAGGACAGCTTTTCACGTCCAGTATTTCGCTATATTCTGGTAGTAATTCTTGTAAGTCTTTAGTTAACCTTAATTCAAAACCTGAGAGATGCGTGTTACCACCGGTAAGTAATATGTGTGAAAGGCAATCGTGTTGTATCTCTTCAGATAAACCAGATGTTATATCCTTGATTACTTTCGGTAAACCAAGGCGCACATACATCATTTCAGGAGCAATATATAATTCTGAGCCTAATGAAACGCTCTAAAAATTNTTTATCAGCATAGTTCTTTACTTTAACTTTAATAGATTCCCTATTTCTTCTTGCTTCATTTTTAATGTTATAAGTTAATCTACATTTCTCTTTAATGGGCAATGTATCCAAGTATGATATAGGAATATGGTAACATTCTTTTAGGCACCAACGCATAGCTTGCTTCAAGTGATAAGCCACGTGCCAACCACCAACAGGTAACAATCTCCAACGCTGTGGTATAACACGTCCACCAATTACAACTGCTACTGTCGTACTTAAAGCACCACTGTCAACGACGACACAAGTTTCCACGTCTAGCATTGCACATGCTGCTAACGGTTTAGGAACCAGACATATTCTGAAAATTTTTGTTAATTATTAAAAACAAATTTTTATATGACATTCTTTCCTTCTTTCTTACCTTGATATTTTAATTTCTTGGAATAAATAATGCAACAATTGTTTTCTGAGTGTTGGATGCATAGCCAATGGTTCACAGAAAATGAGCACTGAATTCGGTTTTCTTAATGTCGACGTTAATCTCATTTGATGAAATAAATGATCAACAAATGTTTTAAGAACAGGGAATGTTCCATCACTTAATAATGCCTCTGCCGGACTGATGAGATCAACATTTGGAATTCCAAGTACTTCGACAGTATCAGTACAATACCCATTTATAAGTTTCTCATAAGTTGGATTCGGCCTTGCATAACATGTTGGATCATTTTGATGAGTAATTAATCTTTTCTTCTCTCTATACAATTTCACAGGATTACAGAAAACACAAAACGGGCCGCTGGGTCTTGTAATTTTAGTAGTTTCCAATTCAGATAATTTCAACAGTTTTAATTTCTTATTTAATAATTTAGCATCACATTTTGGATGCGTACTACTACTTGGACTATTTTGTCTCTGTGTCTGTTCCAAGTACGTTTCATTATTGTATTTAGGTACACCAAATATGGAAAAATGCCGTCTTAATTCACAGTGTGGGGAAATAACCCATGTATACTTATTTCCAATTTCAATTACTACTTTCGCTTTAGAACCTTCAACACAATTTCTTTGGCATGTGTAACCAGTGCAATGGCGGCATTTTGGGAAATGAACATTTTCCCCTAATGTAATTACCATGTATAATCTATAACACATTGCTTTAAAGCTGACACTAAGTAGTTGTAGACACTTTATATCTGGAAATCTAAAGTGTACTTTTGAAATTAATTGTAGCCACTTCATTTTCCTAAAAAAAAACATGAGTAATTTTTGTAAGTAATTTGTAAATGGTATTTCCTTATATCATAACTCATACAGATAAAGAAAAATAAAACATGCAATAATAGAAACAATGTTAAGTTTGAATGTTAATGTATACACAT